TTTAGCCTATATTGCATTCCCTGGCCTAGCAATTGAGAGTGTGGTTTCTAACCATTTTTTATCCTCCTAGCGGTTCACAATCGCCTTTTCCCACACTGATTCATTCGATCCCCTGGGTCATGGTAGTTAGTTAGGTGGAAACAACTCCCGAGTGAAGCTTCTCACCAAGAGTTTTAATCCTTTTACTTTTCAAGTCCTTCGTTTTAATCGTAGATTGTAGATATTTTCACAAACAACATTCCGCTAGATAATGTTTCAAACAGTCGAAGTAGGGGTACATGGGCCGGGTCGGATCGACATTTAAACATATTTGCCCTATATTGCATCGCTTTAAGGTTTATACTTGGGGCTTAGGTGGGATTTAATTGTGATACCTAGGAACCAAACTACGAGTAAGCCATTAAGCTAGTCAAGCATTCACTACGGACATCTATGTCAAGGAATTCTAGTAGAGGCGTCAACAGTTAGGATATGGAGAACATAGTTCAAGGTCTGGGCGCATTATGAGATGAAGTTTTGACGGGTCATATCTTGAATATTGTTGGCTAAGAATTTATTTCCTTAGTGTTTCTTAAGGAATCTTGAGTAGAGACCGAAGACAACCTACTAAGAACTATATGAGGTTAGAAGTCGTTACAACATCAAAGGTGTTTATGAAGGGAGAGTGCCACAGCGCCATAGTCACATTAAGCAAGCAACTAGTTGAGTAAGTGGTTTATGGGAAATGGGTGAGTTATCAGTCGGTCTAGAATCACATGAATTGGAGGCAATATTTATAGCTTCCGGTCATACAAGGTAAAGGAGGTATAAATCCCAGTAGTAGAAGGGAATACCACAAGTGAGACATAGAGTTATCACGAGAAATAAACTTTGAGATCAAAATTGTTCTTAAGGAGGGGGGAAATGTTATATCTCGATTTTGATTTAGGTTAAAAAACAAGTACCAAGTGAATTGGATTCACAAATCAAACCAAATCGGCATTTTGTTTCATCACATATTTTGGCCAAGTTGCCAATTCAAAAGGGCAATGAGTCACCCAAAGTTGCGCGGTGCTATAAAGCTAGGTTGGGATACAAGTGACCCAAACTTGCACGATGCTACAAAGTTAGGTGGGGATACTAGTGATGGTCACAAGAAAATATAAGATGTACAGTGAAAACACGTGGGGAGCAAAGGACACCATTGGAGTTTGTATAGTGAGGATAAATTTTCCATGGAAGGAGGTACAAGAAGGCTGTTAAAGGAAAGATGAGTTCCGAATAAATTTCGGGGACAATATTTTTTTTATAATGGTGGAGGAAACGTAACATGCCGACTTTTGAGTTCAGGTTCGACCAAAATAAATGAAAAGTTGGGTCGAAGGTTATGTACGAAAATATCAAACCAGGCAAGGACCCAGGCTTAAATAATTTACGCGGCTCAAATTGACCATTACCCGACGGAAGGATTACAACTGTGGATTAAGAGTGATAATGATAATAATAATAATTAATATAATTAATATTATAATTATTACTGAACCCTAAAGGGATGAAAACATTAGCGTAGAGGCGAACCAAAGAAAGCCCCCTACATCCCACCACCCTCCTCGTAAACACTCTCTTCCTCTCACCGAAACCTTGATCAATGCAAACTATAGTAGCTGCAAAGAGATTAAAGGGTGCAAGGGGAATCTTATTTCCTCTATCACAACACAGGAGAGCCACAATGGATCTAGGGAAAGAGACAACTCAGGTTTTGAAGGGTTGAGTTATGAAATGGGACTCCTTGTCACGTGAGCTTGAAGGATGGAGCCATCGTATGAAATAAGGAGCAAGAGAGAATAATCTGATCGCTGATGTGGAATGATAATCTTCGAATACCATGAGGATTTAATTATGATGATGGCACGCGTGGTGCTATTTATGTGAATGTATGTGTTGATAATCTTTGAAATCTAAGAAGAGTTGTGAGACATCAAGCTCCACCAATGGCGGATCCTAAGGACAACCTAAAGTTCTACCAAGGCCTAGAACAATGGGATCCTACTCAAGGCCAAGTGTGGATAATGTTCAATCACCTAATTTTCACTCAACAGTGCCAAACAACAACTATGAGATAAAATCAGGCACAATTTCGATGCTTCAAAGTACGGTCTAATTTAGTAGGATGATGAGTGAAGATGCTCACGCGCATATCAAGTCATTCATGAAGAAGCAATTCTTCTGAGGTTATTCCCATTTACTTTGAGTGGAGCAGCAAAGCATTGTTTGAACAAGCACCCCCATCATTCCATCACTTCATGGGCGGATCTTTGTGAAAAGTTCATCGCATAGTACATTCCACCTTCCAAGACGGGATTAATGAGAGGCGAGATTACTATATTCCATCAAGAGGAGGATGAACCATTGTTTGAAGCATGTGAAAGGTTTAAGTCTCTCCTACTCAAATTTCCACACCATGGCATCGCCGATTGGTTACAAGTGGAAATCTTCTTTTATAACAATTTAACGAAGGAGTCACGCCACCTCATCGATGCGGCTAGTGGAGGTGCCATTAGGAACAAGGAAGTCGGTGAACTTCAAAACTTGATTGAGAGATGGCCCTAAATAGCTACGATTGGGGAGAAGGAAGGAGAGGCAAGAGTGTGAAGAAGGGGAGTTTATTGAGATTGAAGAACCTTCATCGTTAGCGGTTCATATACAAGAACTTTACAAGAAAATTGATCAATAGGTTCATTGTCGAACCAAGAGGAGTTATAGAGAATGTCTTGGTAAAATGTGCTCATTTTGTATATCCTATGGACTTCGTGGTTCTTGACACGGAAGGATGTGATGCATTGATAATCCTAGGCCGACCATTTTTAGCCACGACAAGGACTATCAATGATGTGAGTGGGAGCAAGATCACCTTAAGGTTAGGAGAGGAGGAGATAAACTATAAGATGTCTCCAATCCCCAATTTGCACAAGTACTTCAAATGGGAAGATGTCAAGATAGATTGTGATCTGGTTACACGTCCTACCACACCACCTTCAAGTCCCGAAATATAATGGTTCAATATGGTTGCTCATGTTGACCCCCATGATAGTAGAGACGAAGGTGTGAGTGAAGCTTGCAAATAAAGAGATCAGGTAAGGAAATATTTTCTCTCAAAATTGATACTCAAGAGTTATTCAAAGTTTCTCATCAAGCCAATGATCGTAGGAGGAAACTTCAGAGGTTAATCTGAAGAGAGATACCCCAAGGAAAGAAGTCAGGATGTTAAGAACAACCTAGCTCCTATACTCGAAGATGAAAAGTCGGGGAATGCTATAAGCCATTCACGGATGATGATACAAGTACAAGGGAGTTTGGTTTTGATGAACCCTTCAAGGGTTGATTTTTGTTTCAGAGAGGCACAACCAAAGATCAATTCCAAAGATTGATCTCGGAAATAATGAACAAATTTTGTAATTAGAATGATAAAACTTACGCTAAACTAGATTATGAGTTAAAGTGCAAATCTGGACATTTGGACTTTTGGAACTCGCCACTAATGCCAAAACACTTTTGGAGGGGCTAATTCTACCCCCAAAATTTGGCCTTTTGGAACTTGGCACTATAGATAGTCTTATGAGCTAAAAAAAGACGGATTCTGAAATTCAGTCTTGAAAACCATTGTCGTTGCTAATTTGACATCCTATTCAACAACTAGACCTTTTGCCAATTCCATGCTCGAAATTTCCTAATATCTTTACTGCCCGCCTAGAGGTGACAAATCGACTGGATTCATGGATGGATTGGAGGATTCATGATTGGATTAAATGGGTTGGTGGATTGATGCATGGATCCTAATTACATACCTTAGATCACTATGTAAATTTTGAAAAGGTTAGGTACTACAGTGGCAAAATGAAAAATTGTAGGTACCAAAATGTAATTACCAATGATATTTTTCGTAAAAAATAAATAGGTAACAAAAAGTAAAAGATGAAAAATATAGGTACTAAATTATAAATTGTCAGTTGGATGGATTCATGGATCAATTCATGAATCCACCAATCCAATTGAATTTGGATCAAATAAATTGGATTAAAATGGATTGGATTAGCTGTATGTTTTGATGGATGGATTGGATCGATTTGAATACTAATTGCCATCTCTACTGCCGCCTATATCAAACGAACCCTAAATATCTGACCACAACTTTGAATCACGTCGAATTAGCTTTGACTCGCCCAGTAGTTGGCGTTGCCAAGGCCATCTGAGTTGGAACTAGGGTCGAGAAAAGTGTGGATTGTTCAGAATGGACTATATAGGGGCGGATCAAAGTGGAGGGTAGGACACTCCTAAAATTTGAGAGAAAAATTAATAAACTCTTGATAGTAGTTTGAGTATAGGGAAAAAAAGGAGAAAATGATACTATTTGTTATTCGAAACTAACACAATAGTTATTATTATTAGTGAACATCTTTTCTGTTTGACCACACTACATTTATTGTTGTAATTTTGTGATAAATGTAAGACCAAATACATCTGTATAGCCAAAAAATTTGTCGGTTGTGACAATAATAGTAACTTTTTGAGAAATACACAAAATGTCCAAAAATTTGAAAGTTTAATGACAAATATAGCAATTTCCTTTACAAACTTTAGCGGTATAGAAAATCCGTCAGTTAGGTTAACGTTAGGCTGACTAGGATGCCAAATCATCGCACACATCAGTGACAAGTCATCAATATCATTGACACATCATTTTGATTTATAAGAATAATTAATTTTGAAACTAACAAATATAAATATTTTTTCTTAATTTCCCCCTATTCCCCACCAGTCGTCTCCTTCTTCTTCTCTCCCAACCGCGTCTCACCAGCATTCACCTCCACCACTAAATATTCCAGAGGGCGCCACAACAAATCAGAACTTTTCATTTCACTAGAAACGCCATTACCAAAAGCCAAATATTCAGAAACTAAGAAATACCATAAGGAACCCCCAAAAACCCAGAACGTAAGAGCCAAAAGCCCATCAACGCACGCGTCGCTTGCAAAACCAGAATGTCCAAAACCCAGCAACGCACGATCCACAATTTGTTTGTTTCGCCATTCAGTTTTGCTGCATTCTTAACCTGCTTCGACGATTCTTTTCTTCCACCATTCAATTTCAACGCACGATCCACGATTCGTTTCTTGCCGAAACTAGAATGCCCGAAACCTTCGATTCAATTGATTCATCGACAAATTTGTTGTATTGATCCGCTTCATTAAATTTCCTCAATCGTCGATTCAACTTCGTTTTTCTGGTGCGATGGCGAGTGACTCTTCGTCAAGCTCTGCTTCCGGCGGAGTCAAAATTTATGCCTAGTAATATCCTCTGCCTCCAGCGAAATAGGGCATGTGTTGCCTTCCTCCAAATTCATCACCTTCACGATGCCGAGGTACGAGAACGTGGCTTTCGGGAGCTTGTCGCTGACGAAAGTAGCAACAATGATTGAGGGGATGACGGCGGTCCGAAATCAGATGTGGTGCCGTTTTTTATGTTGGAAAGAAGGGTTGTCAGAATCCCAAGCTTCTCCCTTCTTCACTAGATGTGGATCCAAATCCAAATCTCCGACTCCTCCTCTGCCTGGCTTCGCCGTTGCGCATCTTTCCTGCCTTTCGGCTTCTCGTCCCCGGTCGCTTGGTGTCAGCATCGTTTCGTAGCACCGGTTGGCAGTGGGAGGCTGGTGATGGAAGGAAAGAATGAAGGAAGAAGACAAAGACGAAGGGGACCACAGGCTTTCAGTAGCCTATTTTAGATTTTTTTTATTTTTACTTTCACAAATCCACGTGGTAAGTTGTTTCGCCACATCAGAAAAATGTTAGTCTAGTCAGCGGTTAAATCTTTGTGTTAAATTTTTTGACAAAATTGGACATTTTGTGTATTTCGTGAAAAGTGGATATTATTGGGAAATGCGTGAAATTTTTTGCTATGCAGATTTATTTTGCCTAAATGTAATTATAAACGTGTATCCCTTATCCCAAAATTTCAAAAGCCTAAAGTTAAACCCCACGAACTACCACTTATCCCCAATGTATTCTAACACACGATTTTATCCGAAAGAGTTTGGGCACCTTTCTGATTTTTTTATGAATGATGAAATTTTTATCAGAAACTCACATTTCAAGAATACAAACAACATAGAAACCTAACCAAACTTTGAGAATAATGATTTTTTGTGTTAAAAATGATGAGTTATTTTATGGACTAAAAGGAACTATGCCGAGTTGATGGTGGAGACAAAATTGAATCTATCATGTCCATGAGTCTTTTTGCTGCTCAAAGTTGTATTGATTTTACCGGTTGCAACTTCAAGTGTTGAGAGAGCTTTTTCAGCTTTGGTTATATCAAAACAAGTTTCTGAATTGAATAGCTTCGTAAATGATTGTTTAGTATAATATATTAATTTTTTTAGGTGAGCATTGTAAACAGTGAATATATTTCACAATTTTTTTAAAATATGATAACACGTCTTGGGTCCGCCACTGGGACTATACATATCGTTTACAATTCAGACTCGAGACTGGAGCAAAGACTAAGAACAAATCAAATAGTATATGGTTCAGACCGGAGGCTAGAGAAAAAATCAGGGAAAAATCAAACATACATCCCAAATTCATCATTCAAATTCAAATTTAAACACATAAATTAAAAAAATCAAATGTCTTGATCTAATTAGTGAATACCAACTACCAAGAGATCAAACTCAAGAACCACAAGATCAACCTCATCAACAAACATCAAAGGAAAAAGACTACTAGGGTGCATTGTTTCCTTTGGCGGTTGCAAAATGGGAGTTAGAAATGATGTATTTTGGGTTCTGACTCTTAAACACACTTAAGGCTTTGAGTGGAGGGTAGTTTGCAATAAGTGGAAATTGAGATGTCTGGAATTGAGACTTTGATTGGTTTTGAACCTTGCGACTTTTTCCTTAGGCAAAGACCAAAATTATGTGAGTATACTAGTAGTTGGTTATCGGTTAACCACTAAACAAAATACAGCTAATCGAAATCAAATCACTAAGAAATTAGCGATTATCGATTAACCATTAACTGCCATTCATCAGTTCGGTTATTGGTTACAACCAATAACCGACAAACCATTTACCACCCCTAGTTTGGTATGTTTTATAAATTCTATGGTGTGGTGAGTTTCTAAAGTGCGTTATAAACTTTATGGTCCCTATAATTTTAAAAATGACAAGCATGTTGCTCTCTTTAAAAATCAGCATTAATTCTGGTCAACCCCTTAAAAATAAGAAAATTCATCAAAGTAAAATGTTATTATTGACTGGAGCTAATGTTAGCACAATACTAACAAATTGGGTGTTAGCTTCCGAACTTTATCTTGCTAAAAGTGAGTAGGAGGAACATGGGGTGTCATATAAAAAGATAAAATAAGTAGCATGTATTCATCCATCCAATTGGAGACCAATAGAACTAGTGGTTAAGGATGACAATGGGTCGAGTTATATCGGGGTTTTCTAAATCCTAATCCAACCAAGCGAGTACACCTATTAAAAAATCCTATAAAAACTACTCATTGAGGTTTACAAGTGAAATCCAACTCAATCCAACGGGGACTGTCACATGTGGCAGATGACATGGCGCCAACATGGTGACAAGAGTAAGACCGTAACAGTACCCAGGGTGCATGGGTATCCATGCGTTCACGAACATAACGACATATTATTTCCTCGAACACCCTCATCGTAATATAATGTTCATGGATACCCGTGGGTTCACGAACATAACCACATATTATTTCTTCAAACACCCTCATCTTAATGTTATAAAAAATTTTCCTATAAATATATCTCTATAAATAATACTAATATCTATAAATTATCCATATTATTTACTGCCATAAATACTACTAACATCTATAAACGGTTCATATTATTTCGTTTAAATATAAAATGACATAGTTTTACATTATGGACGTGAGTTGAGTGAAAAACATGTTGACTTTAGGCAAAATTTAAATCCAGCCCAACCCAACTCGTCAATTTAAAAAACAGGTAAAACTCACACCCGACCAAAAACTCGTTAACATTGAATTTTATCCGCTTTGTTCAGGTTGAGTACCGATGCATTCAGATTCAATTCCATCACTGGTGGCAGAGAAGATCAGGGGAATTTTTCCAAAGCCAATTTTCTTGGAACTTGTAAATGGAAGAAGGCCGGTGAAGATGTGCACGAAACCAAAGTTGGATCCGGCATGGTTAACGCACCGCACCCTCTCTCCTTTCTTTCTTTCTTTCTTTCTTTCTCTCTTCTGGTGAATTACTAACATAACTCACTAATTTGATTTCGATTGCATTGGAAAACTGAGAAACATTTATTTTGGTTGCCCCCTTTTAATGCTAGATTTCTGTAACCTCGCTCCCTGTGAATTATTGGGGCTGCCATCTTATCCCCGTTGCTCGCTAATAATTGTTTGTCGACGATGGCGAATTAGTTGAGAGTGCAGACCGACCGCGCAGCCTGTCCTGCGATGTGCTGTGGTGCACGTATATAATTCCATTTATTTATTTGTTAATTCATTTCCATGTTTGAAAACAAAGTAAAGCGACCCTGGGTTTTAAAAAAATGAGGAGAGATTTGGAGGCCAACCCCACCAACCAAGGCCTAATAAGCAGGAGTGGAGTTGAATGAAACTTGTTATCGTCCACCATTTCCCACGCCAGAGAGAGTTGCTGGGCTGGTGATGTTTTGGTTCACTGACCAGTAGCCTACCATAGAAGACCCTTTCCGCAGCACCAAAACTGTTCCATTTCTTTACAGAAAACCAATCAAACCCACTACTCTCCTCCTCCTCCTCCATTAAACTATTGTGTGTGTTTCAAATTCAATCTCTCTTCCCAGACCAAACCCCATAGCAGACGAAACCCTCCCTCCCCTGTCTCCATCATTGCCTTGCTCACACAAACAGTTTGTTAACCAAAACCCATATTTAGTTGAATCCGTTGCTCCTTTCTTCTCTATATAAACAAAAAAACTCCCTCACCACATCTCTCAACCATCACCACAACAACATTCACAAAGAAGAAGAAAAAAAACAAAACCCCAACCTTGCTTGCTGCATCTCCCTTTGTCCGATGGCGAACAATCATCAACAGAATCAGGAAGAAGGGGCCTTCCAGCTTAGTGTCACCCGCAAGGAGCCGACCCTTGTCACCCCGGCGGACGAGACCCAGAAAGGTTTCTACTTCCTCTCAAACCTGGACCAGAACATCGCAGTCATCGTCCGCACAATCTACTGCTTCCACTCCGAAAACAGGGGAAACGAGGATGCCATCGATGTGATCAAGGATGCTCTGTCCAAAGTCCTGGTTCACTACTACCCGCTCGCTGGCCGCCTCACTCTAAGCCCCGAGATGAAGCTGATTGTGGACTGCACTGCCGAGGGTGCCGTCTTCGTCGAGGCCGAATCCGACTGTCACGTTTCTCAGATTGGAGACATCACAAAGCCTGATCCTGTCACTCTGGGGAAGTTGGTTTATGATATTCCTGGCGCTCAGAACATTCTTCAGATTCCACCTCTTGTTGCTCAGGTGGGTTCCATTCCATTCTAACTTCTCAAGTGTTGGTCAACAACACATGCTTTCTTACCTCACTGCACATTTTCCCAACCAAGTTTCCTTTTCCTATATATAGAATTGGTCAAACATGATGTATGTTTCTACTTCATACACCATAAAAGTTCTTGTTTTGGAAATATCTCCCATCATAATTTCATAAATTGTCTGTTACTGAGGAATGCCAACTACTGATAATGATGAGACTTCAATATTATATTTGGAACACGTGTAGAACTTCATCAAATGCAAAATTTAAGGATACACATATGGTTATCAGTCTTTTTTTATTCAATTGGATCTGTCTGCTGTAAAATTTACATGGTACATCCGTTTGGCAGGTAACAAGATTCAAGTGTGGAGGTTTCGTTCTGGGTTTGTGCATGAACCACTGTATGTTCGACGGAATCGGTGCGATGGAGTTCGTCAATTCGTGGGGCGAAACGGCCCGTGGGCTGCCACTCAACGTCCCACCGTTTATGGACCGGACAATTCTGAAAGCCCGAGTCCCGCCCCAAATCGAAAACCCTCACCACGAGTTCGCCGAGATCGAGGACATATCAAACGCCACCAGGCTCTACGAGGAGGAAGAGATGCTCTACCGTTCTTTCTGCTTCGACCCGGAAAAGCTCCAGCGCGTCAAGGCCAGAGCACTCCAAGACGGCTCCTTGCCCAAATGCACGACCTTCGAAGCCCTCTCCGCCTTCGTCTGGAAATCGCGGACCCAGTCCCTCAAACTTCTCCCCGATCAGGAGACCAAGCTCCTCTTCGCAGTGGACGGCAGGGGCAAGTTCGTGCCCCCGATTCCAAGCGGCTACTTCGGCAACGCAATCGTGCTCACCAATTCGCTCTGCAAAGCAGGGGAGATTGTGGAAAACGACCTGTCGTTTGCGGCGAGGCGGGTTCAGGAGGCTGTGAGGATGGTGGATGATGGGTACATGAGATCGGCGATTGATTATTTTGAAGCGACAAGGAAAAGGCCGTCTCTGGCTGCGACGCTGCTCATCACCACCTGGTCGAGGCTGTCTTTCCACACTACAGATTTCGGGTGGGGGGAGCCAACCGTTGCGGGGCCCGTGGTGCTTCCGGAGAAGGAAGTCATTCTCTTCCTTTCGCACGGGAAAGAGAGGACGAGCGTTAATGTGTTGATGGGATTACCAGCTTCCGCCATGGAAACGTTTGAAGGGCTGATGGATATATGATTTATGTTATTGACTATGATCACTAGTTTGTGTATCTATTTGGTTGTTGTTTTCAAGGATTTCATGTGTTTGTGAAGAAGTACTCTTCGGTCGAGCTTCTGGGGTTTTTTTTTTTTTTAATTTATCTTCGTGTATGGAGAATTATTGGGTCCTGTTTGCTATCTAGTTGATTGATTAATGATGTGTTCATGTATGAAGAATTATCGGCACCTTGTTTGCTATCTAATTCATTGATTTATGATGTGTTACTGTTCACCATTTTTACTCATCTGAAAAAAAAAAAAAAATGAGAGAAGGAATGTGTCACAACCTAACTCGATCCAGCTTTACTTTTTTCATAATGTCATTGATAATAGGGCAATGTCTATTTTTCACCCAAAATTTTTCAAATTTTTATTTTATTTTATCCAAACCTATTAAAATGCTATTTATTATCCAAACGTTAAGTTTCCATTAACAGTTCCGTTAGTTAAAACGAGCGGGCAAAAAAAAGTGCTGATGTGGCAATAAATTAATTTTTTTTATTATGCCACATTATTCTCTAATAACCATTTATTATTTTAGGGAAAACATAAAAATTAAACCAACCCTCGTCCTTCTCTCTCAACCACAATCACATCACTGCGGCTACCGTAAGCCCCAAATTACCCATCGACCAAAAAAACCTGCTTCTGGGATTGCCCTCCCCTCCAAAAAGGGCGCATCTGGACGACGATGAAACGAGAAGCAGCAGTGACGACGAGAAATCAACTTCCGACGGGGGATACAACAGCGAAGATTACGGTAATGATCCGTCTGGGTCAGAATCGAAATGCTCGGATGAGGATGAGCCTGAATTGGATCGGGGATACAAGAAGGGAGACATCGGTGAAGCTAACAGCGGCGCCTTTTGCGATTCCAGATTGATGAGAAGAGAAGAAGAGGAGCAAATGAGGACGTCGACCTCAAGCCCTCACTACCAAACCTGCCGTCAACACCATCGCCTAGAAACCCGCCGTCGACACCATCACCGCGAAACCCGCCGTCGTTGGAGCTTCGTCTCCGACTAGATCTAGATTGGCGCTCAGAACCCTCAAGCCCTCGCTGCGAAAACCGCCATCGCCGCCAAAATCGGCGTCGCTAGAGCTTCATCTCCGACGAGATCTAGATCGACGCTTCTGTGCTTGATTTGGCTTGGCCAGGATCCAGATCGAGCTTTTTCGTTTTCTGGAAAAAGAGGAAGGAAAAGGGAAGGCAGAGAGAGGAAGAGAATCAGGAAAAAGAGAGTCGAGAGGCTGAGAGAGTAAAGGAACAAAAAATAAAGAATTGATATTTTTTTATTATTTTATTTGTAGTTTCAAATTTTTTTATGATTTTTTATTTTATTAATTTCATACGTGTATGCTGACGTGGAGTTCCGTAACGAAATAACTAACGGTAACAGAACGAATGCCCAGACTTTGATAAGATAATAAATAGAATTTTGATAGGTTTGGGTAAAATAAAAGAATTTTGAAAAGGTTTGGGTAAAAAATAGACATTGCCCTTGATAATATATTAAAGAAAAGCATAAATCTCACATTGAAGAAAACTTAATATAAAAATTTACACTAGAGGAAGCTACTATATTAACTAGGCTCAAATCAAATAAGTGGTTAATAATTCCAATAGGTTAGTTAATACTATTCCTCGTCCTATTTTCCGCCCTATTTTGCGCTGGATTGTTTTTCTTTTGCCATATTTCATGTCCTAGTACGTGAGGGAAGGTTAGTGGCGAGTTCTGAGGCATTTGGAAATCAAACGAGCTAAAAGTAGAGGCTGTGCATAAGTCACCGGCTGAGTGCACATGTCACAGCCAGGGAGTGACATTCGACAAATAGGGATTGTGATGAGAAAATAGGCAGCAGCAAGACTGCACTTCGCGGGTAGTTGGAGAAATCATGGCGTGGCCGTGACCTAAGATACAAACCCGTGACTTACACCAAAACACGGAGGGAAACGACGCATTTTGGGTCGATGTCACGGTCATGACTTATGACAAAGACTCATGCAAACTGTAGTATATAATAGTTTTCTGCGATTTGGGGGGGGGGGGGGGGGGGGGGGGGGGGGAGCTTGTGTTTCAACCAAAAATGTTGGAAACCCGGATCAGGGGGGCTTGAGTGGGCCGACTCGGCCGGGTAAGGGAGAGTGGCATTCCTGTTATTCCGTGTTATTCCTATTTTACTACTTAAGGATTTAGATCAGTATTTTGAAGATCAAGCAATAACAATTAGTAAATATCAATTCCCTAAACCTCAATTCTCTCTTTTGTTCTTCCCCAATTCTCCCAATCTCTAATTTATTCACTTCGCCAAAGCTCTCGGACCTGTCATGGGCACATATGCGAGAACAAACCCGATGTATCATCGATCATTGGAGTTTCGAGGAGCTGTTGCATGAACAGGGGGATGCGGTGCCCGAAGTGACCGACGGAGCACGACTGCCACTGATAGCCGAGCACCACACAAAGGCGGCCAATAGAGATACGAGCCACGCGCCGCCGTGACCAGCGCAGACATGGAACCAGGCGAGGAGCGGGAGTCCCGGGAGCCAGTGTCGCCGACCCTCTTGCTGCACTCCGTAGCAGGGTTGCATCGCCAAGAACTCTCCATTTTCGAGCTCGAATGGAGAAGAACATGACCATGAACTTGGTGGACAGGGGCGTCTCGTTGAATTTTCTCGGGGAGGAGTTCGTGAAAACATTGCAGCATGTGGCATGCCTAGCCAAACCATTTGTCTGAAGATAGAGAACGGCACACTGATGAGAATTAAATGAGTTTATCGAGGAAGCACGTTGGACATCCAAGGTCTCGAAATCACCACCAATTTGTATGTGCTGCCTCTCTAGGGATTCGACATCATTATGGGAATTCTGTGGCTGTAGAGATTTGGACCTATCACTAGTGATTGGAGGCAATTGACTATGCGCTTCAAATGGAGGGAGAAGGACTGGACATTGCAAGGCCTCACCACTATAGTAGGCTTGATCTAGATCAATGATTGTTCTCTTGGAGGGGAAGCCAAGATCGCCATTTGTGCTGGCCGTTGACAGAGGCAGGAAAGAAGGAGATCGACCTGGAGCTCGAGGAGTTGCTTGGGCAGTCCCCGAGTTATTCCAGACTCCCACTGCTCTGCCACCGCATCGACAGGTGGATTATCACATCCAATTGAAGGATGGAGTGGAGGAGGTGAAAGTCAGACCGTCCGGTACGGGCACTTGCAGAAGGAGGAGATAGAGAAGTAGGTAGCCGAGATGCTTGCCATCGAACTGATAAGGCCGAGTACTAGTCCGTTCTATTCCCTGGTATTGCTGGTTAAGTAGAAGGATGAGACTTGGCATTTCTGCACAGATTGCCAAGCACTCAATGAAGCCACAGTGAGGATCGGTTTCCTACACCGATGGTAGATGATATGTTGGATAAGCTCCACGGGTTGAGCTACTTCACTAACTTGGATTTGGGAGCCGGGTACCATTAGATCAGAATGCAAGAGGAAGACGTCTACAAGACGATATTGCGCACGAACAATAGACATTACGAGTACCTAGTATCGCCATTTGGGCTGTGCAATGCCCCCTCTACATTCAAGGAAGCCATTAACGACATCTTCTGGCCCCTCCTACACCGATACATTCTGGTTTTCTTTGATGATATCTTCATTTACAGTCCGACATGGGTGGACCATTTGAGACATTTGCACGCAGTGTTTGAGATACTACTAAGGCACCTTTATTATATCAAAGCATCCAATTGTGCGTTTGGGGTACAAGAGGTAGAATACCTGGGTCATGTGGTGACGTCGCAACGAGTGAAGGTGGATCACTGCATGATTCAGACTATGGTGGACTAGCTAGTACCCACTAATGTCACCCAGTTGTGGGGATTTTTTGGGCTAATAGGGTACTACCGGAAGTTTGTGCAGGGACAACATGATTTTCAGGTCATTGTTGAATATGTTGAAGAAGGGAGGGTTTGGTGGCCACTGGTGGCGGATGTTGCATTCTAGCGGTTGAAGCAGGCGATGACCACGACGCCGGATTTAGCCATGCCGGACTTCTCCAAGCCATTTGTGATTGAATCAGATGCCTATCGCAAGCCTGAGTGGGTCGACTCGACGGGTCAGGGAGAGTGGCATTCCTATAATTCCGTTTTATTTCTATTTTACTTCCTAAGGATTTAGATCAGTATTTTGAAGATCAAGCAATAACAATTGTTAAATCTCAATTCCCTAAACCTCAATTCTCTCCCTTGTTCTTCCCTAATTCTCCCAATTCCTAATTTCTTCACTTCTCATTCCCTAAATCTCCAAGTGGAAATTCTTTGTTTCTAACAAAAACACCCAAGGGGAGTTCCAAAGTGATGGAGAACTATATATGACTGACCTTGGAGCCATTTTGGAGGCTTAGGTCATCAATGGAACTAGAAGATCCAGCCGAGACAATAATATTGAAGATCTTGAGCTTTATACTATATTTTGTCTCCTCACTATGGAATAGTTCTCCTTTGCTTAGGTTTTGATGAATCCTAGCCATGATTAGCTTGATTGAATAATTGTATGAGTACTCTTTCTTAATATTCTTAAGTTCATATCCAATGTATGCATGTGTTGATGTTCAATTCTTCCTTGATCAAGATTAATTGATTTTGCTATTGAACTATGAGAGAGAGAAATCTGATGATGTCAATTAGAGCACCATAAATTGGGAGTAAAGGGGTCAATAACACGAGTCTAAATCGAGTCTTTGCTTTGTATTGTGTGGGAATCTCACCTAATAGATGGGGCTAGTACTGAATTCCTTGATCGCTTGTTTTGGAGAAGGTTATGTTCCTCTAAGCAGCCGACTCAAGAGGGCATTGATTGCTCTAATAGACATTCAAGTTCTAGTCAAGGACTCTCCACATTATGAATAAAGAATGAATCAAGTTAGAGGATCTTCAATCGCTAATCCGGTTAGTGGCTAGGGGGATTCAACGCCTAAGTGAGCTTATTGTGGATAGATAACAAACCGAACTGAAGTTATTGTGTATGTTGGACCTTGATTGTTGGCTCTAGTTTTTATTGTTTGGAGTGTTTTCAAGTAGTGTATGAACTGGAGCAATCCGACACCCTTGGAACCGCTAGACAACAACATCAACCGCACTCTCCAGCAACTTGCTCGTGAGAGGAAGCCAAGGGAAGCGAGGGAAAGACTTTTAGTTGGGGCTTAACCTAATGTTGAAGAAGATTTTTTTATGGCGAACGAAGCTGCAGAAGATGGGGATGACGCAAGGATCATAGCGCAATTCTACCCAGAAGCGGAAAATGGGTAAAATCGTAAAGCGTAGAATCAAAGCGTAAGTTTTTTACGCATACTGTAAAATAGCTAAATATGTGTTACGACATATACTATGTAAAATATGAGTGCACATAATTTA